CATTGTCTGAACATTCCAGGTGCCCAACTTTAGGGCAGAAGTTTTCTGATGATTGTTGCATGGTGCACGGTTATCCATCTGCTTGTTGGCTTTCACCCTAAACCCCACACACCCCATGAGCTTAACAGACTGTAACGAGGCAGCACCTTACTGACTGGGGGCAGCCCAGCTTAAGTTGGGCAGTAGCTACCTAGTGAGGTTCAATGCCCTCTCCCACCATCAGATGTCGCCCCTGACGTCATGCTCTATGCCAATCGAGCAAAGACTTATAACCGGTAACTGCTACTTCCCATGTTATTCAACGCTGTATGTGAAGCTGGAGTGTCCTCTCCAGAGCACGAAGCCTGGGTAAAATAATACGGAGGATAGATTGTTACCTAAGCAGCAAATCCCCCCTCTCCATGTCACTGAAATAGTCCAATGGAAAGGTAAGAGCCAATACAACTGGTTCCAGCGATGTTGCAGGAGTTGCCAGAATGACACAAATTGCCTCTGGAACTCTGGCTCCGGATTTTGCCTCGAGGTTATCTCCTGAAGCCTTTTCCATGAGTGGATATAGCCACAAGCCAGTGGAGGTTTGAAATCGGACTTTTCCTTCTCCTAGATGGGCTGCCTTCCAAAGCTAATGAGCGTCACCTACCTGGGTGCACAGATTACTGTGCTTTTGTTGCACAGAAAGGAATATAAAAGGGGTGGAAAAGGAAAAGGGAAGGAAAGGAGTTTAGATGAAGTGGAAAAGGAAAGGGGGTGGAAAGGAGTTTAGATGGGGTGGAAAAGGAAAGGATCTCATGGATCACCTCACCCTTTATGAGCCTGCTTGGTTGTTAAGATCATCAGAAGAGGCCTTTCCTTTGGTCCCACCATCCTCCCAGGTACATTTGGTAGGGACACAGATGAGGGTCTTCTCTGTTGCTGCTCCCATACTCTGGAACTCCCTCCCACAGGAGGCCAGGCTGGCCTCATCTCCGCTGTTCTTCTGCAAACAGACAAATACCTTCCTCTTCAGGAAAGCTTTCCCTGACTAAAGATACAATTGTGTGTCTTGCAGGAGAGGCAAGGCTATCCAATTAGATTCCATATCCTAATATGAGCATCCATTATTTTCTTACAGTTTGTTGAGCTGGCTATACATTTAACCATTACATCTACTGGTCCTGAGGACTGATACATACTTACATCCTGTCATTTGCTGACTTTCATTTAATCACTGGTCTTTTAGGGCAATGTCGCAAATTAATGTTTTTATACCATAACAAGTCATGTCGGTGGAATGCATCTTAAACAGTGTTTTTTTCAACCTGTAACTTTCTAGACCTTGTGCACTTCAATACCCAGAATCCTCAGTCTTCAGGGTAAATGAATAAAGGGGTCTAGAAGCTGAAGTGCAGAACACAGGAAAGTTGAAGGCTGAGAATGAGAGGAGTACATATTTGTGTTTATTTGTGTTTGCCTGGGGAAGTTTGGAAGGTGTTGTTCAAAAAGAGAAATACACTCCCTCCCTTGAGAACCACGGTTATAATGACAAATAAGAACAAATTAGTTTCCAAAAGTAGCTTTGCAATCTCTCTGTCTGCCCCACTTGGAATCTTAGAAGTAACTTGTCAGAAATAATTGGTTGCCTGCAGTTAATTCATTTATGCTATAACAAAGGGATAACAATTACATTAAAATTGTACCATAGGTAAAGGTTCCCCTTGACAAATGTCCAGTCGTATCTGACTCTAGGGGGAGGTGCTCATTCCCCGTCTCCAAACCATAGAGCCAGTGTTTGTCTGAAGACAGTTTCCGTGGTCATGTGGCTGGCGCAACTAGACATGGAACGCCGTTATCTTCCCACCGAGGTGGTACCTATTTAGCTACTTGCAGTTCTACATGCTTTCGAACTGCTAGGTTGGCGAGGAGCTGGGATAAGCGACGGGAGCTCAGTCTGTTGCATGGATTCAATCTTACGACTGCTGGTCTTCTGACCTTGCAGCACAGAGGCTTCTGCAGTTGAACCTGCTGCATCACCACGTGATGACAGAGGCTTCTGCGGTTTAACCTGCTGCATCACCACGTGACAGTTAAATCTGCTTTTTATAATGTTCCTCCAACTGGAAATTATACAAAGTTTCTTGGCTCTGTTTAAGTTCCTTTTATAGTTACAGGGGAATGTGATGTCACTACTGATGCGTGATCTAGATCACAGGTCAATCAATGGCTTTTAGGATTCTAGTAGGCTTTTTACTCCCCCGAACAAAAAAAATCACTAAAAGCAAAATAACTTTTAAACATTTATTACCATAAAGGTCAATAAAGTACATCAGGGCCCCTCAGAACTGATTACGGTACTTTTTAAAAGTCACCATCCAAGCTGTGAACATGCATATATTCTGGGGAACAATTAAGAAGAAAAAGTAATAAAGCTCAGTGCTTTGATAATTTCTTTCTCTTCCTTGTAAGCAGTGACGTGCTTCTAAAGCAAGCTTAGCCAATATCACTGGAAAACACATTTTACAAAGCTATAAAGAAAGCCCAAACAAAAATGCATGTCAAAATTCATTGCAAACATTCAGTGAAGAATTCTTGGCACCTTACAGAGCACTTTAAATTTGATTTTAAATCCAGAGAGCTGCAGAGGTCCTGACAAGTCAGGCTGACCTCATTTGCATTCTGTTCAACCTTCTATAAATGTATAAATGAAATGGCTATTAAAGAAAACCATATTCTTTTCCCCCCATTTCAAATATTTCTGTCTCATGCAAAATAAGAACAAGATATAAACAGAATGTTTAGCCATGAAATTATCCCACTAGTGCTTAAATGGGGGTAGGGGTGGGGTGGGGTGTGATTTATGCAAACATGACTTTAAAAAGCAAATTTTGTAAATAAGAAAATGATTTCCATGGTCACCAAATTTAAGCAACCCAAAGGGCAGTGAATCAAATCTAGAAGAGACTAAATATCTTAAAGCTATAAAACTAAATGTGATGGCTAGATCTTTGTTAAAAACCAAACAAAGTTCTCAATTTGTTTTCAGCCATGGGCCAATCTCCAAAAAAAGAGAAATGTTTGCTGGACTACTTCCTGTCTCTCATACGTAGTCCCCAATAGAAGGAGGAGAAGAATAGCCGTGTGATAAGGCTACGTAGCTTTACTTTGAGAACTCTTTCAATGGAAAGGAAGGGATTATATGAGATCCATCTGACATCTTTGACCAGATTTTCAGGCACTTCCTCTCTTCTTCAGGCACCTGTCAGGGGCCTTCTGCTACCACAAACCTTAAATTTGTATGCCTCTTTAGCTTCTATGTTTACATGGAGCATTGAACATGTACAACTGGGTCTCAATACACATTGCCTTCTACTGGGAAATGCTGCTATTCTGGCTTGGGGGCGGGAGGCTGCCCCTGCTCTGGTCATGATGTGACTGACAGGTTCTTGTGATTGTCAAATAATGTCAAACAATGCCCTTGAAATTTGTTAACATAGACTGAATTTTCTAACATTTCCCACTGACCAAAGAGTAAGAACTGGTGCCATGCAGTAACAGTGAAATCTGAGATGCACTGTTATTTCACTGGAGTGAAAGCTAGGGGTTGGGGAGAAGAAAAAATGGGCATATTTTATTTACTATTTTCTACCACATTTTGTAAGATCATAGGATTGTAGAACTGGAAGGTACACCAAGGGCCATCTATACAGGAAACCCCCACCTATACAGGAAATCCACAACTAAAACATTCCTGAGAAAATGGTAATACAACCTCCATTAAAAATCTCCATCAAAATAGAGTCCGCTTCCCATGGTAGTTCATTCCACCGCCAAATAGTTCTTATTGCCAGGAAGTTCTTTCTAATATTTAGTCAAAATCTCTCTTTTTGTAATTTGAATCCATTCCTCTAGTTCCCACCCACTGGAGTGTATGATGCATCTGAGGTGACGTTTGGTTTTTTTTTTTAAGGAACACAATCTGTAACTAATCAGAAGGCAAGTGTAAGAGAGAATGATATAAATGATATCATTAATACTCCCTTGAACATATAGAAAAACTGAAATGATATACAGAGCCACTCAAAAGAATACATCACAAAGTTCCTACCTGTGTCACCTTCTCAGTTACGTTGTGTGTTCTGTCTTTTACTTTGGGCGCAATAATTGTTTTCTCGGATGACGGAGGTGATGAGCTTTTTTTTTCATTTTTGATATCAGAAAAGTTCAGTGTGAGCTGGGGGAGCCTGTTGATGGTGTTGTATTTGTTGAGGTTTGAATCTGACGTAGATCCTAACAGACTTGACTTGATATGGTTGAAAGGACCTATAAAAAAGGGAAGGGTGGAGGGAGAAAAGATAAGTGTTGTATAACACCACAAATCACAAAAAAAACAGTGTCTGAAATAAAGAATTCACTATCTATACAGTATTATAAAAGACCAGTTAATAGGGATAGGTGATTGGCCATCGTGGTACTATATAGACCTTTGATCTGAACTAGTTAAGCTTCTCATGTTCCTAAGAAAAATGGTCTAACCAAGTTAAACTGGTCCATGCTGTCACTTGAGAACATGGAGAACAATGGTCTGCTGTTTACATGAAGCAAGATTAAACTGGGATCTCTCAGTGGCAGAAACAGAGTTGTATCTATGGTGTTCCACCTGTATGGATACAAAGCTTGAAAAGATTATTTTTCTGACTACAGCTTCCAGAATCTCCTAGCCAGCACAGGCTGCTGGGTTGTGGGGCTTGTTGCAAATAGCAACTTCCCAAGTTCTGCATGAACATTATCCCGACCAGCCTTCCTTAGTGGAAATCATATGTATATTGGAAAAACACAGGGGCCCTACCAGAGAGGATGTTTTGTGACATAACAGATAGAATGCTGGACCTGGGTTGGGAAGATTCAGATTCAAATCCCACCTCAACCATGAAGATTAACATTTACCCCTTGAGCCAATCACCTCCTGACAGCTTATCCAACCTCACAGATTGTTGTGAGGAGAGAAGAAAACTGGAAATGAAAGACGATAAACTGTTACTTTCCTACCACCAAGATGTCCAGATCAGGGAGGGGAGGTGATCTAAATGTCACAGTTTATTTAACTTGAACACATGATGAATTAAGATTCCTTTTACAAATCCTTTTGGAAATCATGCGTTTCTTTTATGCCAGACTTGAAAATGCTTACAAACAGCAACACAGAAATGTTTCTAATTTATAGGCTTACAACTCTGTGTAGCCTGCATAATTAAATTATAAACCGCCCAGAGAGTGCTTGAAGCACTATGGGGCGGTATATAAGCAGCACGCTTTGCTTTTTGCCAGACTTGAAAATGCTTACAAACAGCAACACAGGAATGTTTCTAATCTATAGGCTTACAACTCTGTTAAAATATATATGTGTGTGTGTGTGTGTGTGTGTGTGTGTGTGTGTGTGTGTGTGTGTTTTCATGGCCACAAATATTGGCACCCTTGCAATTCTGTCAGAAAATGCAACCCTTCTCTCAGAAAAATGTTTTGGTACAAAAAACAACCTGAAAAAACAGAGAAGAAAAGTCGAATCTGATACAATCCAACACAGAAACCCAAAAATGCACTGGTCAAAATTATTGGCACCCTGTCTAAATTGTAAGAAATAATTGCTTGTCAAGCATGTGGTGCTCCTTTATTTTGTATTTAGACACAACTGTCACAAGTAAGAGGTGTGGGCAATATAGCAACTATGGGGTGGAGGAGGGAAAGAAAAACAAGGCATAATAAGAACCTCCCAATTCCGAGATCAGATGAGGGGGCCCAGCTCAGTGGCCTATAAGTAAGGTCCAACTCAGGTGATCAAGCTCAAAAAACAGGGTCTTTTCACTGCTGACTCCTTTTGCAAATCCCTGGTTAAACTGCAGGGGTCCTGACTATTTTTAAAGACTTGGATGTTTCAATCCTGTTTTAAGTTTCTGTTGACATTTGACACATTTTATAAATGATCATAAACAAAACAAAAAGCTTGTGCTGTTTTAGTTAACTGTATTGATAATTCTGCTCTGCGCTTTCTGTTTTGTAAATCACCTCTTGAAATTTTTTTGTCATAAAAGGTGAGATTAATATAATAATAAATAAACAAACAAATAAACAGATAGATAAATATGGACAAGAGCACTCCAAACCAGCACCAAGGCCACTTACAAAACTGATTTCACACAAAGAAGTTCACCACACGACATCTAAACCATTGCTGATGGACACAGGAAGCAAATGGGTGGACTCTGAAAGTTGGCAGCGTGGCCTGTGGCCTTTGCCCCATGCACACCATGCAGTTAAAACAGGAAAAATGTCCTCAGTTGCACACACCCTTCCACAGCATGCATGTCCTCTTGAAAGGGGACTAAAATGAATCATTGGCCTCTTCCTTCTCCTACCCAACCCACCACCCTTCCAAATTTTGGTCCCTGAGGAAAGAGTTGGGTTTAGTATACCCAAGCTTTTTATGCAACATGGAATGTTCTAAATGTAGATAACAAACATAATTAACAGGATCCAGATTTGTTATATAAAAAGGAGAAAGAGAGAGAGAGAGAGGAAAAATGCTCCATTTGTCTGCTTTTGGTCAGCATGATTTTTCTGAGCAAAAAGGACCAATTCCAGAAAGTGATGTACATGATTAAGAATTCTTTCTGCATGAAATTAAAAATGAAATGCATGCATGCACATTTGAAGACCACATTAAGCTGAATCCATACCCCCTGCCATCCAGGAGCGTGAAACTAGTTTTAAGGAGACAAAAGAGGTATAAGTGAAGAGTGCCAAAAAGAGTCCAGGTGAACTAGTCAATTTGTCTTGTTCTGTTCAAGAAAAAAACTGCACTGGATTTAAAATGCATCATCGTTGTATCATTGTTCACTAATAGCCCAATTTGTAATCTCTTTGTGTAAATTCATATCTCGGAAGCTTTGGGGATCAGTTTGCCTGCACTGGACTGATAGCACCCATGGTACATCTTCATAGGCACCATCTGGGAGTATAAAAGTTAAGCATTTTTAATTCCCCCCCCTTCAAGCCATTAGGACTTAAAAGTAGAGATGACATGAACCCACCTCTACTTTGGGTTTCCCTGCCCACTGCTCTCTGAGTGGGTGCCCACCAGAGGAGGTGGGGAAGGGAAGTGCTGAACAATTGTTTATCTGAAGGATGAACTGGCACAAACCATCGGCCTGGGGTTTCACGCCCATCTCTGCTCAAAAGCGATTCACAGAATCAAGCCAATTGAATTTAGAATATATTCACGAGCCATTCCTTCCTTCCCAGTCTCCCCTGACAAACAGCTTAAAGGGACTCTGTGGCAAGAGCAAAGGGGACTGTGGTGTATCTATCAAGTGAGATAATGGCCATTTCTGTCACGTGCCCAGCCCGACAGAGATGTGCATGGAAATGTTGCGGGGACTGTGGTGTATCTATCAAGTGAGATACAGAGATGTGCATGGAAATGTTGCATCTTTACATGTCATCCAGCAGGCAGGTTAACATGCCAAAGAATGTGGCCCTCCCACGCACAGACAAGAAGACACCTGAAACATTTACGTTACCTTTGACATTGCGACCATTATCTGATATTCAGCAGAATAAAGAAAAGCAGAGGGGTAAGAATAAGCTCGATATGCAAAAAATGAAAAGTATATGTTTATCTAAATTGTTACCCCAACGTAAGCTGAAGGGCCCCATTTTGATTTTGCTCTGTCAGCCAATTGGTCCTTGTGAGCGACTGGAAACGAAACATGTTTTGTATACAAGAGAGGAGGCAAACATTTCTTCCAATGGGCCCACATTAGAGCAAGAAGCTGGCTTTATTTCATTGCCACCTGATTCCCAATGCAGGAATCCAAATTAAAGCATATCTGGCAGATGAGTGTCCCTTGAATTCATTTAAGCAAGTTTGGCTGGGTATGAGGAGCAGGGGTTGAATTTGGAGCTTTGCAGAGCTACATACATTCCGCAGGCTGCTGCATGGCACCATCCTTTTTTTTTGCTAGACTCTGCTAATTTACCCCTTGGGATTGTTCCTTAAGTACCCCTAACCTCAGTGGAACTGCTAGACATGTACCACATGGTGAAAAACACTGTCACTTTTGATGTGACTATGATAACACTTAAATAGTAAGGCAAACATAACTTAACGTTAGGAAACATTAGAGGTTAAACTAGGTAAAGAGTAAAAACCTAAGGTTTCAGTTTCTTGGAGACTGAACTGAGGGGTAACGTGAAAACCACAGCTTGCAATCGTCCATTTGGTACAATAGGACCCTCTTATCCATGGGATCGGTATCCGCTGATTCACTTATCCACAATCTGAAATTATTAAAAATATTAAAAGGAAAAATTCTAGAAATGGATATTTCTAAAGATGAAGTTACTTGAACTGGCTACTAGAGAGAGCAACAGACCATGCTATGTACAGTGTTTGCTATTGAAAAGCATCACTGCAATCTGCATTTTTCAGCATCCATGGAAGCAATCCCCCATGGATACAGAGGTCTTACTGTATTTTGAGAGCATTTATAAGGAGTGTTTTGCTTCTCCCCCTTTCCCCGTACCTTCACTAGCATGCCGGCCCCTAAAGACATCATTTGGGTGGATGGTGAATCCTTCAATGTTGTGTACGGAAGATGCTCTCCGGATGCTGCAAAGGCTTTCCTTTGATGGAGCATGGGTTAGCGCTGTGCTGGAATGTAGCATGTCTGGGTACAATCGATCCCACTGTCGTTTGGGGGAGGAATGATCAAGGGGTCCTGATATATTCACTGGCGGGGAACACGTGCTTGGCTGGATGAGTGCTTTGGTGTCGTCTGCTTCAGAAGGGCTACAGCTCTCTTTTACTGGAGACTTGAAGTGTTTCATAGCCATGGAATCATCACTGTGTTTTGATGAATCAACAATCACTGCATCGGGATCTTCCTGTGGCAAGGACTGCTTTCTGTAGGGCAAAAGACTCATCCTGGGGATCTTGAACCCAAAAAGTCTGCCTAAGTAGAAAAGAAAACGAAAAAGAACAGGTCTAAAAATAAGGTTTTTTTTGAGATACTGGGATGAGGAGGAGATAGACTTGGTTCTTTTTATCACTTCATACCTCATGTATTACCAAAAGAGTATCAGCCATCAAGAAGTTATTAAACACATGACTGGCATGCAGTTTGGTTTAAGCAGGGGTGGGCAAGTTCCAAGGTCCAGGGGGCATCATCTCATCCCAAGGATCCACCTGGTAAATATGGAACACACCAAGAACCAAAATAGAAGTGGCCAAAGGTTCCTCTTCCACTTTTGTAAAACTGGCCACCACATGGCAGTGTCGTCCCCATTCTGATTTAAACCCCCAATCCCCAGTGCTCCCTTCCCCTAGGATCATGGGTGGCTGCCGGGAACTTTCAGAACAGCTACAGAGGCGTGCCCAAGCTGCAAATTTCTCCCGATGCTTTGATCCCACCCAGCAGCCTGGACCTCACCCAGCACCAGTTCTGGCCCCTTCAACTGGAACACAGGCCCTGCTCCCCATTCAGCGCTTTAATTAGCAAAAAGATGATCTACTCCCATTTCACAAGCTTAGTGCTTGACCGCATAAAGAAAATTTTCAAGGGCATCCTGAGACTCTTAGGTGGCCTTGAATGCTTCAGATCAGCTGCTCCAGGTTTTGCATGACTGGGATGTATGGCTAGCCTTGGGAAGGCCTGAGAAATAAAAAGTCATGGAACCGTAACGTCCCCCTGCCTCAAAGGCTCCCAAATGTATCTCCTGGGTGTGTGGGGGATATTACCAATCTGATGCATTCCCAAATCCCTCTTGAAAAATGGACATACTGCACATGATTTCTATCAAGCAAGAAGCCTCTCTCTCTCCCTCTTTCACTTTGGGATATTAGAGTGGACAAAGCAGCAGTTTGAAGAACTCAACTGGAACCAAGGCGGGTATTGCTGTTCTTGTGACATTGCTAGTTCTCAGTATGTGATCATTGGTGCTTGAAGAAATGTGTAGGCTGTCCACGCTATACGCCTTTGCTGAGAGAAACATGAGTGCAACAGAAGCCCAGATGAAGACAATTTGCCAGCTGAGGGACATCCCTTGTTTTCATTTGTCTTCATCTGGCCTTATGTCACGCTCATGTTTCTCTCAGCAAAGGCATCCAGTGTGGGCAGCCGACACCCTTCCTCAAGCGCTAATGATCTAATACTGAAAGCAGCCTCCTTATTTTGGTAGGTGAGCAGAAATTCCCACAGGTACTTCTCTATTTATGACAACAAACATTATAAGAGCAAGTAAAACAAACATCTGCAACCTGAATGAGCTGTCTCACTCTAATGACAGAGCAGTCCTTGACTGTACATAATACCACAACCTTGTTTGCTGTGTAGGAAAACGTATTCTGTGAGACCACTTTTGCACAGCCGTCAAGTTAAAAGGCCAATGCTTTGGAAATATTGGAGGGGAAACAAACTCTTCCTAAAGTTATAAATTTGATTAAGAAAAGGTCATCTTTAATAAGATGTTTTAAAAGGCTCTATTTATTTGGGCTTATCGGCAGTCTTTTAATTTTAAATTTATCTTTAACAGAGAGATTTATCTACTGCCATCTTGACTCAAGAATACAATGAAGTTATTTATCTCTCCTATTTAAAATACACGGCAAACGTTTGTGCAGAGAAAGAAAGTTGCTATCCAACTGCTGAATCTTGAAGGCTTACGAAGTCAGTATTTCTATTAAATTTAAATAAGAGATTTCAGCAAACTTTATTTCAAAGAGGACCTGACTAGGAACCACACAATCAATTTTTATATAACTTAACTCAACAACAACTTTATTGTTTCTGACTAAAGGCCTTTACAATATGTGATATAAGAAAAAAAAATATCCAGTGTAAAAACTGGTGATTATAATAACTCATTGAGATGCATGTCATCAGTCCAATCATAACACTCTTCCAAACAAGCACCCAGACTCACTGATCATACTGATGACAATTATACAACACTGTTATCCTTCATATAATAAGAATGCATCTTCTTGGCTGCCAGTGCAAATTATGCTACAGTATATGTGGTAAATATCTGATTGTCAGTGAGCAATCCTAATACTGCTCCCTCAGAGGTACAGTTGGAGCATGACTGGATGATAGGTGACAGAAACCTTTCTCTAGGATCCATATAAAAGGGACTGTGCCTTGTGCATTAGGTGAGTAATAGAGAGGGGAGAGCACACCCACTGGCTATGCATAGATATACCCACATTGTGTATTTGTGATGGACTTTCCTGCTTTCAGGCATGCTGGCCAATCAAGAGTCCCAAAGCTTTGGGGAGCTATTTCAGCATAGGGCTAATACTGAACACGAGTCATCCTGAGTAAGTCTCTGTATTGGGGTATAGCCAGCTGCTCTGAAATCCTCTCCTTTTTCATGAGTTCACTGACGGTGACAGAAATAATCTGTATGGAGCTTCTCTATGCTTCAAAGAAAAATACTGCTGTACAGCTCTAGAGCAGACTCCGTCAAACCATTTTGGATATGAGCACAAGTAGTCAAGAAGAGAGCAAAAAGGCCACCATTCTCACCCATGGGTGGGCAATGTGTGCTGATTTTTAAGGATTCTTGGGTGCATGTGTGTGTGTGTTTCAGGTTACTGTACAGATGGAATGGCATATAAACGGAGATGGACTACAAATAGATGGATTCACCCATTCCTAGCCTTTGAGGACATGGAGACATAGGCTCAGATTTTCTTCATCTAGCTTCTCCTCACACAAAATCAGGCCCAAGGCTGTACAGGATGAGAAGCCCAATGCTTATTTCCACACAGGGGGCTCTATCCTCATTACACTGCCTTCAGTGGAGTATGCATTCAAAGGGGAGGGAGTGTTCCTTCACGATAAGCTGCATGCTTTTATGTGACTGCTTTCCAAGACCAACGTCATTCTTAATCTCAGTCCTCACATGAGGTACAGAACTAGTGAGTGGATCAGAAAGATCTCCTCCACACTGCACACAAAAAGGAAGAAAATTCTCCTTATCTGTTCATTTGAAAGGCATGCACAGCAGTCCCACGAGTACACAACTGCTTTAGACACCCAGTGTAGCATAGTGGTTAGAGTGCCAGAGATCTGGTTTCCAATCTCCAGCTGGCCATGGGGTGACCTTCTGCCAGTCATATTCGCTCTGGTTGACCTACCTCCCTGCATTGTGGTAAGGATAAAGTGGAGGGAAAAAAAGAGCCTTGGATACTGAGCTCTTGGAGGAGAGACAGGACAGAAGTTAACCAAAATAATACGGAACAAAAAACTAAATAAAACAAAGATCTGTGAGCCATCAGAACTCTCCCCAGCACACGTAGCCTTTTCTCAGGCCAGGCATGCTCTATTCCTCTCTCTTCAACACAGGGTTAGTCTTCTGTCTCGTGTGTGGAGGAATGCTCTGGCAGTGTGCATATATTCCAAGGATGGTGCCCTAAAACCCATAGGCTCGTCTCCCCATCCCCCAGAGGTCATCAGGGCTGCCTGGCAATTGGCTTGGGGATGCATATCACCCCTTCTGGAGTAGGTTTTGGGGTACATGGCAGGTTAGAAGGGGGAGGGATGATTGCCCTCCCCATTCCACTGAGAGAAGCAGTTCCATTAGTGGAACTACACTAGATACTAACCCATGTCTCTCTCTTTTTCCACACACACACCAATTAACAGGAGAGAAATGCGATGCAGTAGAGAATTGCTGGGAGATGTCCTTTTTCAGCATGTACCCAGAGATCCTGAGAAACATGTCTTGGGAGTGGTAAGGCAATGTTGTTTTGCGTTTTGTTTTGTTTTGTTTTTTTTTTGCCTGGCAGCTCAGGTATGAACAACATAAGCTACAGCTAAAAAAAAATCACTAAGAGTGCAACTTTACAGTGCTAAGCCGTAAATAATTTAAAAAATAATAATTAAGAGTGCATTAAGACACTACAAAATTTTGGAATAATCGTGAAACAGAGTCATAAAGCCATTTGAGAAGCAATTGTACAAGCTAATTACATCAAAGCCTCAACAAATATTCAGACCTTTAGTTTGTTTGTGTGCCCATAAAAGCAGGATAATTCCTCTGCATTCTTGCAATGGAAAATGTGAACCTCCCCGCTGCCGCCTGAGGCCGCCTGCTGCTGTTCTATTTTAGTAATATTCATGGTGGTGCAGATGGTCTTTTCTGCTTCGCTAGGTTAACACGACCATGTTCGGCTGCATTGCTGATTTAGCTGTCTAACTGTTAGTTCAGCTGGAAAGGAGAAACAGAGAGACTGTTGCTCATTGCTAATATTTTTCAGGCAGGAAATGGAAAACCCTGAGGATAATCTTTGCCTCTCTTTCCCAATGGAAACACATCAAACTTCCATTTCCTATAGTGGCATAATGGCAGTGAACCCAGGCAGAAAGGGGTGTGGATTTGGTGTGACCCAGCTCCTCCTCTGCCCCTCCCCTCCTCTACTCCTTTTTGGCTCTTCCGCCAGCTGGTCTCAGCCTAAACAGAACAGGGAGGATGAATCCAAGATCATCCAGCACAGGGGTAGAGTGGAGCGGGGCTATTCCAGAACAAGAGCTGTTGTGTCTCCAAACCCACTGTGCGTTATCAAGTCAATTTTAATTTATGCTGACCGTTTTCAGGCTTTTCTAGGTAGAGAATACTAAGAAGTAGTTCACCATTCCGTTCTTCAGGGGGCGCTTTGGGACTCTGCAGCTTTCCCAAAGCCACACAGGCTGGCTCTACTCATGGGAGGCATAGTAAGAGAATCCAACTCCCAACCTCCGGCTCCACAGCCAGTTACCTAACTCACTGAGCTATCCACCCAGCTGTCCAAACCCACTACAGTTACTGAGTCTTTGAGTCTGGATTGCACTGAAAAGCAGATTAGAAACAAAGTACTGTAAGCAAATAATAAATGGTATTCCCAGAGGACAGAATGATGGACAAGCCATAGAAATTCACTGGGGACTAGAACTGGTCAAACCACTCCTTA